TTTTTTTAATGTATTACTTGGCTTTAATTTGAGTATGTTTTTCGCGTTGGAACGAATTATTTGGTTTTACATGTAATCGTATGGGAAAAGATGATCCTCCTTACGACATTTTCATGATACGATCTCAGTTTCGGAACGGATTAATTTCGTATCCTGAGGTACCACTGTATAATTATATGTACAGTACCTAATTTATATATAATACTAAACAGACGATAGCAAACTCAATTTAGCCGCTCCGTAGCGTGGCGCAGGGTCGGAGGAAAGTAGTTCGGCTGCTCATCCACTATTGGTCCAGACTCTATCAATCTTGTCGCGAAACGACATTATAGGAGGTCTTTATACGAAAGTTTCTACAATTTTTTCGCTACGTTATAGGAATTGTCGTTATAGGAACGCACGTTATAGGGGGGTCGACTGTATGTTACCCTCACCATTGAATTATGTGGACATCAGTGCAATGTTTGCAGTTGCTTTTCTGAAACCAACTTTTGAATATCTGGTTCAAATGTGATGTTGATATGGAGCATAGAATGAAGGTGATCATCCATGATGTGATTATGCAAGACAGATTTCACCCTTTTCAACACGTTTGTTCATACAAATACATGCCTGTAAATATCATTATCATTTTTAGAGCACGTGTTCAGATTTGAAAAACTTTGTTGATGCAATTGCACTAGAAATCTAATAAGCACAGATCTCAAAATTTGTCATGCACAGAGGACTGACATTGCAAAACATTAGTTTCAGTTGCAGATCAGTAGTGCATTTGACGCATCCACAGCAAATGGATTTCAAATAGGTGTATTTCACTGTTTGTATTATGAAATTCCAAAAAATATTTCATTGAAATTCTCCCTCATGAGCTTGAGAAGTTGAACCATTCTTGTCTTGGGAAAAGACAATCTTATCTGCTGTTCTTGAAGCTGTACAGGTGGGAAAGTGAACAAGTTGTTCTTTTTCAACTTGTATGAAGAGTTGCAATTTGATTTGAAACTGTTATATCTGCATATACTTGTGAAATGAGTTTGTCTTTTCCTTGTAGTTTGACATTGAATCCATTTTTAAGTAAGCTGCAAGATTACAAAATTGCTAAATCACAATCATGAAGAATCACCCAGCTCAGGCACTTGTTTTAATTTCTCTGTTGTAAAAATGTTAATTTCATGCCTTAAGTTGAAAAACCAATTAAGAAAATACATAAATATTGCATTTAATTTAAATATACTTTGGCACCTACTGTAAACAAATTAAGATATACAACCCTTTGTTTATTGGTTTAATCCTACGTCCATCAATTAATAACCATGTTGCATCTCATTCATTCGCAGAAAATGGTTTCTCGTTATTTATAAAAACATTAATGAAATACAGGTCACTTAGCAATGATTATAAATGTAGTTATTTTATATTAGTTAAATTGTTATTTTTAATGATTAGCACATTCTGAATCATTAAAAATAAACTTTTTCCAATCACGTGATAATGTTTTGGTTTTGTTTTCAATTCATCACGTATTAAGGTAAACATGGTTGTTTGCCTTAATACGTGCCTTTGATAATATTTTGTGATTAAATGAAATAAAATTAGAATTGTATTAATAAATCTAATTTTTCTTATTTTGATCTCTAAAGTCACACCTCGTCCTATACACGAGATCATCTTATACCCAAGTAAATACAGTAATTACAGAAATTTTGGTCTACAGGAAACAAATCATTCAAAATAAAATCCTGCAGTCTGTAAATTCTCATTTATTTTTGAAAATTTGTATTTATCACTATTCAATCCATATTTAAATTCTGTGATTCATTCGTGCACAATCATGTTTATTTTTAATTTTACAATAATTACTATAAACAAAGCCTACAAAAATATTTAAAAAAATACTTTTTTTATAGTTCATTGGGAACAGAATTTTATTATTAATTCATATTAAACAGAATCAAAGTCTTCAGATGGTTTCCACTTATCTTTATAATTCTCAATTGTTAGTGTTCTATACTTATGTANCAAAAAAATTATACGTATTTCGGAAATGTTGAGTCGAATTAGTCTAGAATCGATTAATTTTATGGAAGAAAACCTTTCAAACAGCCGTAGTCCGTAAACTGCATATGTGCTGGGCTGTGGTTGGCACATATATTTAAGGACTCGTAGAAAATGGATTTATAAAAACCGGAATGTATCTACCGTGTTATAGGGGGGTCGACTGTAATTGTATTTTACAAATTTATTTATTTATTTTTAAGAAACATTTTTAAACAAATACCTTAGTTCCTTTCTTATATATTTTTTCTCCATTTAGTCTAACTAATTGTTCATATACAGCTTTCTCAGCTTTACTGTAACAAAAAAAAAACTGTAGATGCAAAAGTTTAATTGATTTTTGACATATTTTTTTAATAAATTAACTTTCAAGAATGAAATATTTTTGTATATTTAAACTCATCAAAAATTTTCCTTATACATTGATAATTCAAAAATCTATACTCATAACAATTTTAAAGTTTCATAATTAAAATATCCTATAATCATTAAATTGAATGTTAAAATTTTTCAGTTTTTTAGCTTCAGTCCAAAATTTACATTTTTTGTCTGTTTTATCTGTTTAAAAGCATCCTAAATACAAGGTATGATCAAAATGTTCCCACACTGGTATAATATAAAAAAACCAAAGAAAAAAACAAATTAAAGCTCATTTTAAAAAGTGCACAAACTACTGTAGATGCAACATCACATGCAGTGTCTATTTCTAGAAAATTTGATTTGAAATAACATCATTCAGTGATTTTCAATGGGAGATTTAAACAAATAATGCATGTTTGAAGTTTTGCTTTAAATTGATGAAATCAGCCAGTGAAAATCTTTTCAATGATAAAAAAGAAAAATAAATTTCAATTTAAAAAAAAAAAAAAAAATAGCATTTGAATGGTATTAGGGGTTTAAAGATAGTTGCAACTCAGTTGTAGATGACCATGATCTGGAAGTCCAAAACAATGAAACAATCCAAA